CTAATGCAAAAATATCTATAAATATCTGCAACTGTGTTAGCAATAAACTTACCTGTGTGCGCGTGAATTAATTATTCTATAAGCAATAATGCACTTTTTGCATTATCCACTCCTCATCTATCCAATGACTTGTAACAGTTAGATAATCACAGTCATTACCACTTCTACCAATATCAGTAGTAATAGCAATGCGACAATCTATATGAGTAAATAAATAGCGCAAATATTGTTCATATTCATGTTTATATTTATAAATATCGCTCTTTACGGTTGCGCGAGGCCATCCTTTATAAGTAGGATTAAAAACTCTTCTAATATAATGCACAAAATGAGGGTTAGAAGGAAAACTATAGGGTAAGCACATAACAGTAACCATTTTTGCCAATTCTTCACGATCTTTATTTGGATCATAATATAAAATGCCACCGGTAACAGTGTTAATTCTCGGTTGAACTAGATTTGAACCTGTACTAGGGTTAACCGTAGTATCTACACTTGTCCCCTCTTGCGCAACTTTCATTTGTAAAAATCTAGCTTTATCTCTAGGGTGCGTCTTTATGTGTCTAGTCAAACTACCCGTACCACTACGGTCTCCAGTAAATTTTTGAACTAGTTGAGACCCACATGTTTGACACTTAGCCTTATTTTGTTCTCTTAGTTGAGTAAAAAAGTGCCAAACAAGAGATGTTTCAGGCCGTTTAGCAGGTTGTCTATTAAAAGTAAGGGTTACTACAGGAGGGTCACACGGGGCATCATTTGGGTTACTAACAGGACTAGTAGGTGTATCATCTAAATCCAGTTGCGTTTCATCTAAATCATCATTTTCTTCATCATTTTCAAAGATAGTTTCATTAGGATAAAGAGCATTCATAACTTCTTCATTTAATTGTTGACCTGGTGCAACATCATGGCAAAATTGACTATCGAAAAATTGAAAACAAGGGTTATCACTATCAAGAATAATAGGTGGAGGAGGACGGGTAACAGGTCTGGGTCGGGGAGCTGGGGGAACAGTAGTAGCTTGGCTACTAGATTCACCAATTTTAGATTTTTCCTTACCCTTACCACCAAAAAGTTTTTAAAAGAAAATGCCATATTAATTATAATTATACTAAATAAAACTAACAAAACTATAATATTAAAACTTAAGAGTTGGAATGAGTTTACCGAATTGACGAACAACTTCTTGAAAATTGAATATCGTTGAAGACTTGAATACTTCAATTCACCAACTTCACAATTTTTCACGAAATTGCAATAATAAAGTAAGCAATTATAGAAGAAAATTAGAGAGAGATTGATGAATTTGTGAGTAAAAATGAAAGAATGGGGGGGTATTTATAGTTGAGAATAGGGAAAAAGTGTAATTATAAAAAGTTTGGGGTTAAAACAAAGTTTGGGGGCCAAATGGCTATTTTTTAAAGTGCCAAACGGTTGAATTTTGATGGCCAACGGCTAAATTTTAAAAATCTGATTGTTAAAATTCTTTTTTTTTTAAAACAAAATAGCCGTTAGGGCCCGTCGAGCCCGGTTGAACCGGCCCAGGCCCTCCTGCCGGTCCTGAGCTTAACGATCCCGGGCTCATAAGCTATTTGGGTTGGACCGGCCCGCTACGGGCTTATGCACCACTAGAGATCGGACCCGTTTGAACCGGCTCGTTTGGCCCGCAATCCTGGGCCGGTCCCGAGCCGGGTCCGGACCACAATACAGCCTTAGTTAAAGGTAAGGCAATTGGTTATTGTTGGAGTACATATACAAAAATGTAGATTGGAGCAGTACACAATCTAGGCACAAAATTTTGGATTATTATATTTTCCTCCCCAGGAGGCTTTCTTTCCAAATAGAACCTCGTCATCCTTCCATCCAAGAACGTCCCACCTTGTTTTTGGGAAGACTCGAACTCACAATCTCTTGGTTAAAAGTGGAGGTTGCTTACCATCAGAGCAACCCCTCTTGTCTATGAAATAACCTCTCCAAATATATTTTGATTTTTAAGCTATGGTTTACATTTGATCAACAGGGTCGGCTTGGATTAAACATTGAACACCTCCATTTCAAAATTAAAGATAGTAAATTCAAAAAGTTAATTTTTCTCTCGCTATACTTAAAAGAAAACAAAGGATTGTTTGAGGAATTAACTCCTTACTGTATTTAAAAGAAAATAAAGTCAAACTCATATTTAAATTCTAGAATTGTGTTACACATGCAGGAGAGTGTTAGAAAACACTAGATTTATCCTTCATCAGTTGTGTAAGAAAATCCAAAAGACTTTAAATTATTATGAACTACTTTATTCATTGCCTTAAATTTTTTGAATTGGATGATCAAATTCTTTTAGAGTACGTTTATATTATCTTTACCTTAATAATTCAGTGGATCAAATTTCCGTCGTTGTACAATTTGAGTTCGAATAAAGTCTTAAGGCCCCGTTGTCCACAATTTTTTTCACTTTCTTTTTTAAAAAAAAATAATATGTTTGTCCATAAAATTATGCAAGATTTTAAAAAGTTTTCGAAAATAAGTTTTTTTTTTAAAAAAAAAATTCAGAAAAACTTTTTTCCAACTCACAAAACTGCAATATTTTTTCAAGTAAAATATAATTTTAAATTCCAAATTTCAAATACCATTTTTCAACCTAACTCCAAATACTATTTTCTTTAAAAAAAATTACAATTTTTATGTCCAAATGCCTACTAAGTCTCAATTCGAGGACTTGTCGAAGTATCATAAGCTTGTCGTATGGATTTGGGAAGTGGGACATTATAAATTAGGCGTAATGGTTTCCTGACCACTTAAACTTGTAGGGCTTTTGAAAGTCGATATACAAACTTTAGATTTTCCTATTTGAACACTCCAACTTGACAAAATTGGTAATAATAAACACATTTGACCGTTGATCATGCCTATGTGGAAGCACTACAGCTGACATGGCTAAACTGTGTGCAAATCATGCTCCCAAGACGTGTGAATAGTATTGTTTTTACTTAAAAAAAAATTAGAATTAGAATAAAATATAAATAAAAAAGAAAAAAAAAAGAAAAAAAGACTTTTCCAAATTTTTCATCTTCCAAGGTGTCCACCATGGATTAAGTAATGCTATCATATGAGAAAGTGATGCTACGAGCTTCACCAGACCATGCCGGAACATGTAAGTTCAGAATCCTAGTAAAAGAAGCTGAGTAGAACTGGAGGGTGCATTGGCATTTGGTCGAACACTGTTATATGAACAGTGTGCAGAATGAACATTTTGGATATTCGAAAGATTTGGCCCACGTAAGGTCTAGTTTGAAGGTTTGGAAACATACTCCTGAGGAGCAGGAGTAGTTTGGAATTGGTTTTGAGTCCTTTGGTTTGCCTGATCACGTTGCCCGGTCAACTGGTGAAGTTTTGAGTTTTCAACTTGGTGGTGATGGTTGATTTCTTGAATGGATTGAGCTGATTCTTCGCATAGAGGATCCATGGGTGTAGTAGAAGGGATTCCAATTGGAAATTGGTCTCCAATTGGCCCAAAATTGATAGGGGCATTTCGTCGAACACCTTGCTCAACCGGTTGGATTGTAAAATTGGAGGAATTGGTTGGTACCCATATGAAATTTGAAGTGTAGGAGCATTCTCCTCATCAAGGCGAACATTTTGGTACCTTTCTTTTCCAATTTGGATACCTGGAACACCTTGCGCGTTCATTTTTGCCTCGCCGGAGTTCTGCTGCTCATCGGAGGGGACGATTCCCACGGTGGAATTGTCGAACTATGTTTCAGGCGTTTTTTTTCCTTTTTGTATTTGTAACTTTTTTTTTTTCTGATTTTGTATTTAAAAATAGAACCCACAAATAACACAAGACAAGTAATAAATAGCTTAGCATGATGTGTTATACATGTCAGCGCAATTGATATACACGCTTTGGTGGATGTGTTTATTATTACCATTTTGTCAAGTTGAAGTATTCAAATGAAAAAATCCAAAGTTCGTGTAAGCCCTACAAGTTTAAGTGGCTAGAAAGTCATTACGCCTATAAATTACAACAATATGATTAAGACGGGAAGAACTGACCTTTATATTAAAAAAAATGTTAGGCAAGTGACAGCCACAACTTTTAATTTGTTTGTTTAATCGTCCCTTCACAATAAGGGTGTGGAAGAAATATCCCAATAGGCATTTTCTTGTGCAATAATGGTCCATAAGGTCCATAATTGTTGGAAAGGGGGACCATATGAGATTTATCTTTTCGATTTCTAAAATAGTCAACTGTCCCTATCCTCATTTTAAGCCCCTATTTCTTTTTTTCACTTTGATGATAATGTAAGGTATGCAATTCTCAAATATCTTAGTAGTCGTTTGGACATAAGAAATGTAAAATTTCAAAAAAAAAAAAAAAAATTCAAGTGAAAAATAGTATTTGGAAATTAAAGTTGTGTTTGGACATAAATATAATTTTGGGTTATTTTTGAAGTTTTGTGAGTGATATGAGTGAAAATTTTGAAAAACAACTCTTTGGAGTTTTACAAATTTTCGGAAAATTCCAAAATTTTTCTTCAAATGAAAATTAAAATTTTTATGGACAAACACTAATTTCGAAAAAAATTCAATTCCTTTTTTATATCAAACGGGCTCTTAGTAAACTGAAAGAGAAAAAAGGAGTTGCTTACTTTCGCTAACATTATACTTTAAATTTGTACAAAAAATAGATACTCCCATCCGTTCCAATTTAAGTGAACCTATTTCCTTTTTGGTCCGTTCCATAAAAAAAAATGACCCCTTTCTAAATTTGGAAATAATTTAGCTTAAACTTACAATTCTACCCTTAATGATAAGATTTTATAATTACACAAATATTCTGGCCCTCTTTCTGACTTGTTTAGGACTGCAAATTTCAAAAATCTTTATTTTTTTCTTAAACTCCATGCTAGTCAAACAGGTTCAAATAAATTGGAATGGAGGGAGTAACATATTTAGGTACAATATTTGGAAAATTCTTTATTAAGAAAAAAAATGTTTATCAGGATTCTATGACATCAACGAACCAAAATGATCACCCTTGTTATCCTAAAAGGAACCACCCAATTTTCAAGTTATCCATAGCTAAACAATTCATTGATCGAAAATGCACTACTTGTGAAAACATACATTTTTATATATGTATGTTGATAAAGGCATCCAAAATTCTTGTTAGGTATGCATCCACCTTTGCTGAATTAACCACCAAAAAGAATCTCTAAAGCAATGGATACTTCATGGGAAGCCAGTGTTACCGATTCCATAAATGCCATTTATCTTTTGTTCTCTGCTTATTTAGTGTTTGTAATGCAATTAGGCTTTGCCATGTTGTGTGCAGGCTCTGTCAGGGCCAAAAATGCCATGAATATTATGCTTACTAACGTTGTTGATGCCGTCGTTGGTAGCATTTCCTACTATCTTTTTGGCTTTGCCTTTGCCTTTGGGGATGCCTCTAATTCAAACCCATTTATAGGCACTAATTATTTTGCTCTCAAAGACATTCCTTCAAGCTCTTATGACTACAGTTTCTTTCTTTATCAATGGGCTTTTGCAATTGCTGTAGCTGGAATCACTAGTGGCTCCATAGCTGAACGTACCCAATTTACCGCCTATCTTTTCTTCTCTTTTTTCCTTACTGGATTTGTTTATCCAGTTGTAGCTCATTGGCTTTGGTCTTCCAACGGTTGGCTAAGTCCTAATTCAGATTCTCTATTGTTTGGTTCTGGTGCCATTGACTTTGCTGGCAGTGGCGTGGTGCATTTGGTTGGTGGGATTGCTGGTCTTTGGGGCTCACTTATAGAAGGACCAAGAGTGGGCCGATTTGATGCATTTGGTAACCCTGTGAAAATGAGAGGTCATAATGCAACTCTAGTAGTGCTTGGCACATTTTTGCTATGGTTTGGATGGTTTGGCTTTAATCCTGGCTCTTTCGACAAAATTCTTGTCCCGTACCCAAATAAGATCGACCAAGGTAACTGGACCTCGGTAGGGAGAACCGCGGTCACGACAACCCTGGCCGGTTCCACGGCCGGGATCGTCACCTTGTTCGGCCGTAGGATACTAGTGGGACACTGGGATGCAACGGATGTGTGCAATGGAGTCCTCGGTGGGTTTGTTGCAATCACCTCAGGATGCTCAGTTGTAGAACCATGGGCCGCAATTGTCTGTGGGTTCTGGGCAGCTTGGGTTCTAATTGGACTCAATATTTTAGCACTTAAACTCAAATTTGACGATCCACTAGAGGCAGCCCAATTACATGGAGGGTGTGGAGCTTGGGGTTTGATTTTTACAGGATTGTTTGCCAAGGAAGAATTTGTATTACAAGCTTATAACTCTGGTAAAACACAAGTGGCACGACCTTCTGGGCTAATATTAGGAGGTGGTTGGGGCTTGTTTGGGGCACAAGTAGTTGAACTTTTGAGCATTGTTGTTTGGGTAAGTCTGACAATGGGGCCTTTATTCTATGCACTTCAGAAACTTGGAATTTTGAGGATAACAGCGGACGAGGAAATTGCTGGTCTTGATATCTCCAGTCATGGAGGTTATGCGTACGAAGCTAATCAAGAAGAAAACGGTCCCCGCTTCTATGGCGAGTATTTAAGGATGCAACACCAATCATAAGTTTAAGTTGCTATTCAAATATTACTTTTTTCTAGACCAACTTGTGTACACCTCAACTGTTTCGCCTTGCTACCTCGTACCATTCAAGATTGCTTTCATCTGCAAATGTATATATGCTACTTTATATTTCTCCAGAGCTTTGCTGATTTTGCTGGCTTCTTTCAATGAATATGTATGTTTATTCGTAAAATGGTACAATTGAATTTATACGTAATTTTTAAACAAGTGAATTAATTTGATCCTGAAATAATAAGCTAATTGTAAAAATATGCAATACTTAGCCTTGAGATGAAGACGAAATAGCAGAAACACAGTAGTTCCGGACACAACAATAACAAAATAGAAAAGTAAGAGGATAAAATTGTTTAAGCTTTAGATAGAGTGCAATATAAGTTTGCCAGAAAATTTTTGTCTTTACAAAGATAACTGAGCTCACTATTTATAGCTACGTCTAGGGAAGGGGGTCCTTGGATCGTGCCAATCTTTAATATCAATTATGAGGGCCATCGATGAACATGTAACGGTGAGTATAAATGCCAAATTCCTTGTAACAGGCAATCGTACTTAATGCCATGAAATATTCCCTATTAAATACTACCGGGCGAGGAGTATTTATTACATTCTTATGAGCGTTATTCTTCCCGATGACAAACGGAACAGTTGCCTTCGGTCTTAGACATCCCCCTGTCTTAGGTTCTACATGTCCCTTTTTTGGACGTCCACATGGCATAGCATATTTTGCCTTGCCTCGAGTTTTGCCTCTGCTTTCAGGTGTGTTTGGCACAAGTAAATCCTTTTGTATGGAGGACGGTTGCTTGTCTTCTATGTTTATGCCAGGAGACGGGAGGGGAGCTATCTTTAGCTCATGTGATGAATCTATATTCGCCCAAAATCTTCTATAGTTGAATGATAAATTTCGGCAAACGCGACCATCATGCTTGTTATCCAGTATGGATGATGACAACGACTGTGGGCGGATGGAGCGGTTTGTTGCAGTTTCTACCAATGATATCATTCCGATAACAACTTTATCCTTTCCGAAGGCGTGGAACCGTACTCATAAGCTTTTTTGTTTAATATTTATTTGATTAGGGATTCTTCCATATCTGTATTGATCCTTCATTCTATGCTCGTTTCAGCAGCTCGATGAGTTCCGCCTATGGTTGAAGGCTTGCCAGTGGATCCAAAAGATCTTGGACGTTATTATGCCTGAGACTCGTACGTGGAAAGAACTGTCCATCAGATACGGGTGGAAGGCCAAAATTGTAATTCAGACTAACCTTGTTTCAGCTTTCTATGCAAGGAAATTGATTGATCCCTTCTATCTTTTCCTTGAAAGCAGATCTACCCGCAGGCTCAATTTATATTCCCGAGGAGGATATTTTAGCTGATCCTACTGAAGCGATGAGACTACTTCAAGCGGCGCTCACTCGAACAGGTGTCTCTGGGTCTGCTTTGGGCACATGTGTTTTACTACGGAGTCCCCGGACGGAGAACAAGTAGACAAAAATAAGGCGCTCTTCTGTGGTCTGGGAAAAGAATAAGAGGGCGAAGACTATTGCCTCCGAGTCCTCTCCGAAAGTTGTGATCACTACCCTCCTCCTAGGTCGGTCATAGACATCGTGATGATCGATGATGATGGAGCTTCTCTACACAGAAGGCGACATTCATCTTCAACTCAACAGAATGCTCAATTTGTTGAGTTAGTTACACCTATCGAGGATGACGTCTTGGCACTTTGGGGGAAGTTTGATTTAGTAGAAGATGCCAACTCCCATTCCCGGCCCCCAATTTCTTGTGCCTGTTATTGCGGGGTTGAGTACCAAGTCCCTACCGTCTTTGGTTGGCGAGCATCCAACAACCATCACTGCATTTGGTTCAGCTGCTTCTCATTCTTTAACCCATCAGCTTCATCTCCATCTTCATCAATGCCAGCAACTGCTACATCATTTCCATCTTCATCTACTCTTCTACCAGCAACTGCTACATCATCTCCACCAACCGCACCTGACCATGAAGAAGGCGTTCCTCTTCCCAGTCCCCAGTTCATGAGATCTTGGGGCAAAATTTTGTTGCCTCTTCTAAAGATCTACAAAGGAGGAGGAATGTTATTCTTTCGGTCTTTACCGGATGCAACTTGCTATCCCGGTCGGTAGAGCTTGCTAATTATCTGAATCTTTTGGCTTTAGAGAAAGATTGGGAAAAGATTCAGGCAATCTCGAGAGAGTGTTTGTCGAATAACGCCATGCTCAATGCCACAACGGTATATTTCTTTGTTATTTCTTCTATTTTTGTATGAACATATCCTGAGTTTTACCTTTCTTGCTTTGTAGGACAACTTTTTTGCTTCTGAGGGCCTTCAGAGTTTGATTTGTGAGAATGAAGAAATTACTTCTGCACGGGATCGGCTTTTGGCTGAGCGGGAGCAAAGTTTCACTCGCCTCTCAAAACTGGAAGCCAAGGCCACTGAGGTCGTTGTATTGGAGACTCGTTTGCAGCAAAGCGAGCAAGAGATGGAAACCCTTAGCCAAGAGATCTCCCCGTTGAGGGTTCAATTTGAAGAAGCTAAAGCTAAATAGTTGAAGTCCATAATGCCATTATTGCTGCATCCGATTGTGAGGCTGCCTCCGCGAAAAGATTGAATAATTTGGAGGCAGCCTTGAGTTCCAAAACTGAAGCGCTTGCTGCTGCGAGGGTGAAATATGCCCAGCTGGAGGAGAAGTACAGAAAAACTATCGAGTATAACAGGCTCTTTAGTTCAACTGTCCATGACCTTGATGTTAGCCTCAGATCTATTAGATCCGTCCAGGAAAACCTTTCTGCCGAGGTAACCAACTCAAAGAAGAACTCAAGCACCGAGCGACTTCCCTCGTTGTTGAGAAAACTTATGTTATGTACAACATGAGGAGAAAAACCTTGGAAGAAGCCAAAGATGTTATCATCGATTTTGATATCGAAATTGCTAAGGCCCGTGAGCTTGAGTTAGCTTCTAAAAGTGGTCTTCTAGCAAGGTCTGATGCTCCTTGTCCTTCTGGTTCCGGTTCCGAGTTTTCGGGAACTGAAAAAGAATCGAAGGATGATGATGCTGAAGGCCAAACTGGTAAAGACCAAAATGTTGAGCCATCGGTGGATCCATCTACTTCTTTAATTGTTGAGCCATCGGCGGATCCATCTGCTTCTCCCGGGGGCACGAACATTTTCTTCCTCATGGTTCCGGAGATACTACAATTTAGCTTTTCTTTTCTTTTTCCAATTCTTGTAGCTGTGCCATTTTGGTATGTTATTGTTAATAAAAATATTTTTTTGCTCAAGTATTGGTTGAGTCTTTCTTTCGTTTGAATATTCATGCAAGTCTTCTATCTTTGCATTTTTTTCCTTTGCTTGAGAATTTTGCGCAAGTTTTTCTGTTTGCATCTTATTATGTGAAGCCTTGGGTGTATTCTCCCGAAAGCATTTTGGTACTAGGCATCAACCCTTTTTCGTAAGGACTTTGATAAGTATTTGAGCAATTTTACTTTTGTGTCTTTTAGTATATGGCTACAAGTGTATTTTTATCGAAGGCATTTTGATTCCGGGCATAAATTCTTCCGAAATCAACCCTTTAACGTGAGAGTTTTTATAAGAGAGGGCCCTCTTATATTTACGGTGCTCTTGAAGAGAACATTTCCTATTCATTACGACACTAGTATTTGAAGTACTTGTTTAACTTTCAAACGACAAAGTTAATTCATCGTTCGGACAAGAAAAAAGATAAAAAAAGGATTTCATTTCATTTTATTCCTTCTATTTTGAAAGGTACATAAGCATTTGCTATGCTAAAAAGAAATTGTCATTACTTGTGTCTAACTTATATAACTTGTTTCTACGGGGCTGGCCGCGCTGTCCCTGATCCCGATGATACAATTATGTTTTCAGTTTTTCATTTCCCGGTCGACGCGACACTTATTATTTCCTTATCCTCATATCATTCCCCCCAATGTTCGAATGTGAATAGTGCGAATTGGAGTGCTGGAAGTCTTGTACCTTCGAGGACCCCATTAATGAATTGCTACCAATCTTATGCTCGGTAACAAACTTCGCTTACCTTAGGAATTTATACTATCAAGCAAAAGACTATCTAACAATACTTTAATGGTTTGCACTTGTGAACGGTCGGGTAACCTTTGTCCTATAGCAAACTTAATTTCCCGATGGGAATTTTGCTATAGAGCCAAAGACTATCTAACCATTCTGGAGTGGATCCTTGCTTCTGTGCCTTGCTATTAAAGGTTTTATTGCTGTTGTTGAAGTATTCTTCGTAGTCTCGTTAAAAACCTTGCCAAAAAAGTTCAATTGGGACAAAAACTGAACGAAGGTAAAAAGAGTGCAACACATACTTTCCGCTTGGTTAATGTTCATTAGCAATAATATCTTTTGAGGTGTGCCACGTTCTAGTTGCCGGGAAACTTTTCTCCATTTTGGTTCTCCAATTCATATGAACCTTTCCCGGTGACGATTGAGACCCGGTAGGGGCCTTCCCATGTTGAGCTAGCTTCCCTGCGTTGAGCTCCCAGGTATTTTGAGTTACTTTCCTTGGTACCAAGTCTCCTACTTTGATATAACTGAAGTTGGCTCTTCGATTATAATACCCCTTTATTCTCTACTTTTGAGCTGCCATTCTTATATGTGCCAAGTCCCTACGCTCATCGAGTAGTTCCAAGTTGACTAACATTGCTTCGTTGTTTGCTTCTTCATCTGCTTGGAAATATCTCAATGTGGGTTCCCCTACTTCCACCTGAATTAAATCTTCTGCACCGTACACGAGGGAAAATGGAGTTTCTCCTGTGCTTGATTTGGCCGTTATTCGGTATGACCATAAAACTCCAGGTAATTCCTCGGGCCAATTACCTTTAGCCTCTTCCAACCTTTTCTTGAAATTTTGTATAATCACTTTGTTCGTTGACGATGCTTGGATGATAGGGTGAAGATGTGATCCTCTTTATTTTTAAATCTTTGAGGAACTTTGTGACTTTTGTACCGATAAACTGTGGTATTCCAAACCTACAATATATATTTTCCCAATATATAAGGACCTACTTCTACTCACTTAGAAAAATAGTCAGTTAAAATTAAAAGAAATCTTACCTTTTTGGGAGTGGGTGGCAGTGGTCTGACGATGTCCATCCCTCACTTCATGAACAGTGACGGGGA